TGTTGTCTCAGTAAGAAATTCATGTCGGTGATTATGTTGAGAAGGGGTTTGAAAGGTGTTTTTATTTCATGCCCGATACCACAAGCGTAGATGTGGTAGTTAATTGGCCGCTTCGGGGGCTGGGTGAAGTATTTCTGTTCCACGTTGTGACCCTTGCAGTGCAGCGACAGCCTTAATGCAATGCTCCTGACAAAATGAAGTGTTAGGTTCACAGAGCGCACCCCCCCCCACCCTCCCCACAGCTGGTGTCGGTGTGCTCGGCAGGGACTGGGCTGAGTGATAACACCCCCCAACACCTGGCTTACCCTGTACGGGAGTGCCCGGCCCCTGTGACGATACGGGGGTCACTACGCCCACTCCGTGCTGAGCCCCTGGCGGTGCTGTGACCGTGGAGGCGGGCACTGATGCCTGCTGCTGCTGCACGATGCCACTCGGCGTCTTGGGCAAGATGGCAGCTGGTGGAGCGGTGCTGGTCACTGACGGTGAGGCCGTGTAGACCAGGCTCGGGGTTGTCGTGGCAAGGCTGGCAGAGGCAGGCGAGGGGTAAATGGCGGTGATGAGGTGCCCGGGTGGTGCAGGCTGCAGCTGAGGGCCCGAGAGCTGAGGGGAGCCAACCTGCCCGGCGGTCAGGAGTGGGGTCTGGCCTACAGAGAAAGGCAGCACAGGGGTTACCACAGGCACAGGCAAACCTCCCCAATCTCTCTCAGGCACACACACGCACAGGCAAACCTCCCCAATCTCTCACAGGCACACACACGCACAGGCAAACCTCCCCAGTCTCTCACAGGCACACACACGCACAGGCAAACCTCCCCAATCTCTCACAGGCACACACACGCACAGGCAAACCTCCCCAATCTCTCTCACAGGCAAACCTCCCCAATCTCTCACAGGCACACACATGCACAGGCAAACCTCCCTAATTTCTCACAGGCAAACCTCGCCAATCTCTCACAGGCGCACGCGCACACACACAGAGGAAAACCTCCCCAATCTCTCACAGGCACACACACACGCACAGGCAAACCTCCCCAATCTCTCTCACACTCACACAGGCAAACCTCCCCAATCTGTCTCTCTCTCACACACACACACACGCCCCTCGCTCTCGCGTGCGCACACCCCTCTCTCGCGCGCGCACGCACACGCCCCTCGCTCTCGCGCACACACGCCCCTTGCTCTCGTGCGCACACACACACCCCTCTCGCGCGCGCACACACACACCCCTTTAACACACACAGACACAGTAACATGCTCAGACAAACATTAGGACCGGCAAGCATCACCCAGTGACCATCCCCCCCATCCCCCGCTCTCTCCCAGTGACCATCCCCCCCCCC